TCTGTCTCCCTAGGTCATAAAGTCTCAATTCACTCCGAAAACTCCTAACAGGGAGATTGATTGTAGTGTTTTGTTTTATTTTGTTTCGTTTTCATTCCTTTGCGGGTACCACCTGTCTGCAGCACATCAGGGTAGAAAGAGGGGTTATGATGTTAATGCTCGTTTGCACTGCAGCACATTCTAGAGGCGAAGGAATGGATTTTTACTTGCAGAGCAGAAGAGGGAGAAAATCATCCAGCGCAGTGTGTTCACTTAGTAAAAGTTAAACAAAAAAAAGCAAACAACCCCAAGGTTCAATTGGCACATAAAGGCCTTGAGCTTGTGCTCTAGCCCATAGAGCCAGTGAGAATCTAGACACTGTTCCTTTGTCTTTTCCCTGACCTCTTAGAGTCCTGCTGTGGAACGTATAACTAAACTGGCTTAGAAGAGTTAAATTCTGGAGAAATCTGGATAGAAAACTTGAGAGCAAATTCCCTTTTGCTTCCAAATCTATGTCAGCTGTCTTGATCATGGCTATCTAGAACTCCAAGCTAATCTGCACTGGCTCTTGACTTTTCTCTCCCTGTTCCCCTCCCTTCCCAAACAAGTAGAAAGGAGAAATGCTTGTCCTTTGTGTTCCACTGCCAATTCCATGGGTTTGTTGGACCACAAAGACCAGCCCAGGTAAGGAAAAGGAATTCCGTGTCCCTGAGTTTGAAACGAACAAAAACCAAATTCTTCCCCTGAGATACCGAAGAGAGCTTTCCTAATTTTTTGAGGACAGTAACATTTTGTCCACTGTTGAGACATTTGTCAAGTTGTAAGAACTACCTCCATACCAAGAATCATGGGGACTTCACAAAACAGAATTACACAGGCAATGCCTTTTCATAAGGTCTTTTGACTTGAAACTGTTGATGGTAACAAGAGGGGACTTGAATGGAATTGGGTGGGACACACATTCAACAGAACGGCCTCAAAATGGAGACAGCCTTTTTTGGGGCTCTGCAGTTTTGGACGCTCCTCAGTAGGAAAGGTAGATGTGTTACTGGAAGCACCAACACGAGATGAGCTGCAAGGTTCTCAGATTCATTCTTACTGTAGCCTGATGTAGGAGAAGTAGACCGGGGGTGGGGTGGCTTCTCTTTCATCTGCTCCACCAGTCACTTAACTGGAGATTCTTGACGTCAAAACCAAGGGGATGCCAGTCCCTCAGCTAGTTTTCATCCGTTTCTGCAGTGAGAATTGAAATTTAGCCCCAGAATTAGACCTGCTGGAATTGCGAGGCCCTTTTATCAAAAGTTAGGGACTTGGGAGGATCTGAAACAGCCCAGGAGGCTCCCAGGGACCTCCCACTACTTCTCAGCTTCACAGATTCTCAGTTCAGAGAATCTTGGACAGAGATGGTCAGTTCCAAATTCCCTTACAGTTATGAGTTCATTTTTCTAGAAACTCCTCAGAGCGCCTAAATGAATCTTTCCACAGGGTTCCTCAGAATTCTGGGATTAGCCTGAGGACTGGGTTGAAGCCTTTAAGTGACTTGCAGTTGCAACACTTATTCTGTGTGGATCTAAATCCTAGGGGCCGACTCTGAGTCTAGCACTGACTTTTCTCTTGTCAGTTGACCAAATGACTTGTGATGAGACCGTTTTTAGAAAGAAAGTGGGAAGAGATAGGGGTTTCCCATCAAAGTGACCTTCTGTTTTCACCAAATTCCTCCTGGGATCATGCCCACTGCTTCTCCTCCTCCCTTTTCTTGAAAACCCCATCAAGAAGGGAGTGGGGAAGGGCACCTGGCTGTCTCAGCTGGTAGAGCTTGTGGCTCCTGATCTCAGGGTTGTAGAATTGAGCCCTACATTGAGTGTAGACATTACTTAAAAATAAAAATAAAATTTTTTTAAGAAAAGATTTTATTTATTTATTTGAGAGAGATAGAGATTGCTCACACGCATGAGCAGGGGTAGGAGGAGCAGAGGGAGAGGGACAAGCAGACACCGCACTGAGTGTGGGGCTTGCACAACATGGGGCTCAATTTCACAACTCTGAGATCATGACCTGAGCTGAAACCAAGGGTTGGATGCTCAACTGGCTGAGCCGCCCAGTTGCCCCACAAAATCAATCAATCTTCCCTCCCTTCCTTCCTTCCTTCTTTCCTTCCTTCCTCTCTCTCTTTCTTTCTTTCAATTTTATTTATTTATTTGAAAGAGACCAAGATAATGACAGGGATAGTGAGAGAGAGCATGAGTATGGGGGAGAGGGAGAAGCAGGCTCCCCTCTGAGCAGGGAGGCCAATGCAGACTTGATCCCAAGACCCTGGATCATGACCCAGGCCAAAGGCAGACGCTGAATTCACTGTGCCACTCATGCGCCCCCCATAAGATCTTGAAAAAAAAAAAGAAAGAAAGAAGGGAGGGGGAAGGGACACTCCAGTATAAAAAATTACGGCTTTCAGTGCAGTAATTTATCCATTCTGGATGTTAAAATGAGGCCTGGATCAGGCGACCTCTGAGGTTCCCACAACTCTAATAGTTTTTGGTTCTGAGTCCAGCATTTTTTTTAGTGTCCTGGGTGGCAGACCAAGCCAGTCTTCAACTGTCTGACATCTGTTCTTAGTCCTGCAGGGGTTGGATTTAGGGTTGCAGGGAGTGACTGTAGGATGGTCTGTTTCGTCCAGTGCCTCCCTCCTGATGTCTCACTTGCTTACTGCAGGTATTAGTCTAACCCTGAATGAGGCTCTGCTTCTTAAAAACTTTCTTTGGACCCTCGCATCAGCTGCCAAGAGCACCCCATGGCCAAGAAATGGAGGAGAGGAACGGAGCCATGTCCAGGTTTCCTGGTAGGGAGCAATTTCTCTCATCCGGGTGAATTATAGAAGTGGTCTGCCTCTGGTCTTGCCCCTAATTTAGTTGCCTCTTTAAAGATATTCAGGAAATATCCACACTGTTAACTGATGTGGTAAAATAAGGAAAAGATCTAGAAGATCTTAAGGAGAGGAAAAGACCCTCTTGCCTCAATTTTCTAGAGATTCTGGCTAAAGTATCATATGGCTATAGTTAATTATAATAACGGAATTTGATACAAGAATTTGAGGCTCCAGATCCTTTGACACAGCCCTCTTGCTTTATGGAGGGGAGAGCTGAGAGTCAGCCTGGCAAGCGACTAGCTCCAGGACACACGTGTCAGCAGGGAGCACGGATGCTGGGTTTCTTTCTCTGGAATCCTGCCAGTTGCCCCCATCCTCCTCTGCTGTCCTCCCTCTGGGTAGGCACAGATGACCTCCTATATGAATCCTACCATTTTGGGCTTCTGAAAGATGGATGAGTCCCTTTGCTATCTTTTATATTTCAAAGTGACTAAGTATTGGTTCTGTTTGCAAGACGTGCAGCTGGGATTGAAAGACATCATGGGGTCCGTGCAGACCTGGGAGAATTGTGCTCTGCCCAGCAGTTGTAGCTCTTCTGTTGCTTTTTTGTGACTCAGGTTTCTTCCTTCCTATGCTTTTCAGAGGTACGAGCTAGAAGGACAGGCCCCATTTCCTAGGTCCATGGCCAGCCGGTTACTCCTGGGCTGCACTCCCGTGAACTGCAGCCGGTGCCTCCCACCTGACAAGGCAGGGTTGTCATTGATAAGTGTTTATGGCGCACTTTGGATTTCAAAGTTTTTTCTCGGAGTTATTTCTACCCCAGTTTGGCAGGTGAGGAAACTAAAGCCCATAGAAGTGGTGACTGGTTCAGCATCATCCAGCCAACGAATTGTGAAGCGGATACTGAGATTCAGAGCCCCTGAGTTTCCGGGTCGTTGCTTACCCCAGTGAGTCATGCATCTTCTCTAGATGATGTTCTTTGCCCATCACCAACTTCTTTTTTCCAAATCTAGCTGGCTTCTCGCAGCGTGAGCTCCCCTGTTTCAAAGCTGCAGAACCTTACTGGTTGACCAGAAAGCAGTATTGAGGTATGCTCCAGTGGGGGACCAGTCCTAAGTCAAACTGAGTCATAGTGTGGGGGGAGCAGAGGGAGGGCGTGGACTTTTTTTGCTTGGGTTTTGGGAAATGATCAGTGCTGTTTTAGGAACATTAAAGGTCTAAGTATTGGAAAGGGGATGAAGGCTTTAAGTGAAAACACTAGCTGTCACAGATTCAAAATGTCAAACTAAAAAGACAATAAATATTTTGCATCTAAATAAAAGCCTTGGGGGCGCCTGGGTGGCTCAGTGGGTTAAGCCGCAGCCTTCGGCTCAGGTCATGATCTCAGGGTCCTGGGATCGAGCCCCGCATCGGGCTCCCTGCTCATCGGGGAGCCTGCTTCCCCCTCTCTCTCTGCCTGCATCTCTGCCTACTTGTGATTTTTGTCTCTCTCTGTCAAAGAGATAAAATCTTTTTAAAAATAAATAAATAGATAAATAAAAGCCTTGGAGAGGCTTTGGGCTTCTTTTTCAAACTTCACTAATTGGGTCACAGAGGTCTTTTCTGGCTGGTGGGGGCAGAGAGACTTCAGTGAGAACACTGAAAACTTTTACAGTAGAAATTCCCTCAAGAAATCTTACCATCTGTTTATCATATCCATTTTTCCTTTACCTTGGTGGGTTTCTTTCTTTCTTTTTTTTCTTTTTTAATTTTAAATGACTTATTGCCCGTTTGACTTCAGTTGCCTCTGTTAAGCACAGATGTTGGATGGAAGTTCATACCTGTTTGCCTGTCTTTGTACAATATTCCCTGAAAATAAAATTTCTCCTTTGCCCCCCCCCCCCCCCCCCTACCCATTGTGAATTTAATTAAGAAGGGTGAGCAGTTGTGTTTAATGTGTTGGAGAGTCTGCCTTTCCAGACCTTCCAGGCAGCCTGTCAGATCCTGGTAAGTGTGGATTGCAGAACCACACAGTGCAGGCGAGACAGGAAGCAGCGCTCGCTGGGTAGGATGCTCTGAGGCGCCCTCCACTCTCCGAGGGAACACTCTTCAGCTGACTGAAGCAGGGAAGGCGAGCCAATCACAGGCGGCTTTCCTAGCTCAGTCACCAGTCTGTGGCTGAGGAAGGGTTTTGCTTTTTTATGCTCTGTATTGGGAAGGCAGATAAAATGCCAGGGCTGGACTCCCTCTGGGGATAACCTCAGCCTGTGTGATGTGAATGAAGAGCCTCTTGCCTAGTAAATCCCCAGGAATTGATAAGGCAAGCGTGGTTCTTCCAACAGGCCTTTTCTATCTTTTAGCTGTAGCTGTGGCTTCTGTAGCAATTTTATTTTTGCCTTGAAAGAGGTGCTCTGGATTATCAGACCTCCATGTATGACAATTTGTACCTGCATGGAATTGAAGACTCGGAGGCTGTAAGTATTTTCAGAGATAGCTCATTCCCTCTCCCCTCCTCTTCCTCCTCCCACTAACCCCCACCCCCCAACCCCATTTCTTAGGCAACGCAGGGAACATGGAGCTGAAAGCCAACATCATTCGGGGGCTTGCTGGCTGCTGTGTGAATGTTCTCTGTATAGTTCAGAGTGAACTGAAATTATGTTTTATTATATAATTTCTTGTCAAGCAAGAAGGAAATCAGGGTGCTAGCCAGGGCATCTAAGAGTGTAAGCTGTTTGGGATCTATACCTTACTCAATCCATGTTTGATCTCACAAGGGGTAACTGCTCCTTGTAGACCGGCTTAAACTCTGCAGAAAGTGTCTGTGTTTTCCAGTAGAAGGGTTCAGAGAAAAGGCTCATTCATTATATAATACACATTGTTGATGGAGCCAACATGAATGGAAGTTGCTCAGCTGTAGCTCTATTATGTGCTTTCTGGCCAAAGAGTGGAGCAGATCCTCTGCTTCTTTGTTAAGGAAATCGGATGCAAAGGTTGTGGTCATCTAACAGCCCAGTGCAGAGGCAGAGAGAGGCCAGCGTTTCTCTACTCTACCCTGGAAGACCGAAGTAGGCTCACGTGTGTTTTGGCTGAGAAAACTGGACTCCTTTCCCTCCGTAGGTCAGGCTCATGTAATCTATTAAAATCGGGATGAAAATGGTTCTCTGAGATCCCTAAAATCGTACCACCAAGAATGTTAGCTTTGGAATATAGGGTCCAGCTGATGACTTAGTCTTGTTCTCATTATGTGCTAGTGGTAGTTCCTGATTTGTCATCAATCATAGAGAAACCTTGCAAGGTAAAATGATTTGGGGTGGCTGGTGGGACCTGCTGTGGGGAGTCTGAATTTTAGGAGTGCAGTGCCATACACGCTGCTACGTTTGAAACAGGAATGTGTTATATAAGATTCCCTGGCTAAACACTCAATAAACAGACTATAACAACAACAACAACAAAGCCCTAGGGTCCACATCAATGCAGACGTATGTATCAAACAGTGCACTCTCTATGAAAGGTAGAAATCCTCTGTTCTGATAACGCATTCCATTTTTCCTTCCCGTCTGTGTGTTAGCTCTGACTCTAACTCTGTTCTGCAAAGTCTCTCTGCATGTTGCCCGGTGTGCTCGTAAATTATCACACTGCCAGCTGATTGCAAGGGACTGTAGTTTGAAACCCTGGTGGCTCCAATCGAGAAAGTCCACACTTGCGAGTGGGGTGAAAGAATGGAAAATGCAACTATAGGAGTTCAGTAAACCATCTTCCCCAGTGGGGCTCTTCAGGAGGCCTGGTTGTTTCTCCTACCCCTTCTCTCCACACTCAGTGATGAAATGTGTGATGCCTTATTGAATTGTAACTTTTATTTGCGACCATCGATTTTCACTCGGGCACTGTATTGCACTTACGTGGATGGGAGATATTTCCGAATGACCAGTTATTTTAGAAACCAGCTGGCATGAGCAGAGTCGGCTAGGAACTAAAGTATCCAGCACCTTGTTCTCTAGAACTGTGTAGATTTCAGATGCACTGGTTCAGAGGGGAGCCATTATAAGTACGAAAACATTTTTTTTCCTCCTTTTGGTCCAGCCTCCCAGGACGGCCTAGCTTTGCCGTGGGGTGGGAAGTGCAGAGCGCAGTGCTTTGACTCGGGCGGTAGCTGATGGCGGGTTAGTGCGAGGTGCTGCAGTGCTGGGCTCCCGGTGACTCAGTGGTGACCAGCAGCCTGGGATCCTTGGGGATCTGTGGAGGCCAGGAAGCTGGGCAAGCCAAGGGACCAAGAGGGCCGGTCCTCACTTGGAAGTACGGGAGGCTTTCGGTGGGGGTGGGATGGACAGTGCGTCCCTGCAAGCCGAGGGGAAGCCAGAGGTGTTTGGAGGGGTGAACTGGCTCAGAATCCTCATTCGAGTTTATTTGTTTTTATAAGGAAGAATAATGTGATGTGTTACCCACGATGGTGTGACCAAAGCTTCAAGCCAGTGGAGAAGACTAGGCCTAAGTAGCTGACCCGGTGCAGTGACAGATAAAGCCACACCTGGAGTACCACATCCTCAGCAGTCTTTCTCAGTGCTAAGGCATTTATGGCTGTAAGTGTGGGGGCTCGCCCAGCCTGCAGCAGCGCTCCTGGAGCAGGGCTGCTGGATAGGTGTGGAGAGGCTTTTCTCAGATGACCAGCTGCAGTCCAAGAATACACAGGCACTGAAAGCTGAGCACGGCACTTTCTCGGGGGGGTTGGGGTGCCGTCCGCCTATGTCCCTCCACTCTGTGCTGTTGCAAACATCTCTGCGGGGTGTGTGGGGGTTTCACACGGGATAAGTGATTGTATTCAGCGTGTTCACACGCTGTAATAAGATCATCTTGCCGAGGGACTGATGAAATTTTATTCTGAGTAAGGATAAAGTGTTATTATACACTGTTAGCACCTCATGTCCCCGCAGTAGGAGAGAGATTTGGGTCCTGTTATGCAAGGTTTTCCTTGAGATTCTGGTCCAGGGATAGATATTATCCTCCTAATAGCCTAGCTTTTCACTCGTCACCTCGGCATTTCACGCACTGTATGTATAAAGAGAGAGGGACAAGGGCCATGGGGGAACACACCTGAGTCTGGGCGTTTTAGACTCTTGAGTTCTATGGAGTCTTTTGGGACAGGTCCATTTTCTTCTGCTCTGGTTTCTAGGAGAGTCGTTGATTGATTCAGGATGTAAGGAAGTGCAAGAGACGATTCAGTGCCCCACAGCAAGGCTTTGCATGGGAATGAGAGATTTCACGCAGAACATCACGTTACTCCTTTTGTTACCTTGACATGTGGATTGTGGAATGTGTGCTTCTGAATGAGTCCATACCCAGACCAGGCCAGGTGCTAGAGAGAGTGCCCACAGATTCGTACTGTTGCCTTCTGTGTAAAGCTTGCCTTATTCCATCTTCACTACCTGCCCTTGGTCTTAATACAGGTCCGGTGGCCAAGATGCTTTTCCGTGACAGAGCCTCCAGGATGTACTATGTGTTTGTTTGTTTGTTTTTTTATCTGATTCATGATAGATTTTGGTAGATCTCCTCCTTGATATACATGTTTTACAAGTGGATTCATGGTATATGTTGACGTTCGTGAAATCACGAGTAGATTTCTTTTTTCATTCAGCAGGCTTATTATACAGACCATAGCAGGGATGTTCTTACAGGGAGAAGTGGAAGAAGCAGATAATTAGAAAAAGTTACCTAAACATCCACCACGGGATAATCACTGTTAACATACTGATTGTGTCTTTTCAGACTCTACCTGCACATCCATGTGAATATATCACTCTAAGCCTGCCCCTGTGTATGGCATCCTGTGCTGTGAAATGGTGTTCTCAGCTGATCAAAGATGCCGCACACTAGAACCAGACTGGCCTGTGCAAGAGGTGCTTTGCACAATTTAAAACTCCTGCATGCGCCTTCTGGAGTTTCAAGTGATTTAAATGAAATACAGATTCCTAGAGTATTTTGCAAAGTGAAGCCCGGGCTGTTCACATGTAGAATTAATCGTTGATTTCTTTGACACAGTCGCTTCCATCTTTGATGCTAATGTTCTAACATGCTTCGAGGGAGGGACCTAATCTTTCTCAGTGAAAAAGAGAATCAGAGCATAACCCAAGGCATTTACTAGAGAGGAAGAGATATTCTTGGACGTGTTTCCAATCATAGAAAGGAGCCTAATGAATGTATTTACTAATACTGTGAGAAATCTTATTGGTGTGAAAGTTAGAGTGAAGGTAAATTTTTAAAACTATAGTGTGTATATAGGGGTGCCTGGGTGGCTCAGCGGGTTAAGCTGCTGCCTTTGGCTCAGGTCATGATCTCAGGGTCCTGGGATCGAGCCCCGCATCAGGCTCTCTGCTCAGTGGGAAACCTGCTTTCCCCTTTCTCTCTGCCTGCCTCTCTGCCTGCTTGTGATCTCTCTCTCTCTGTCAAATAAATATAATGTGTGTATAATATCTGTATGGGCATATAAAAGCACTTCTTTAAATTTATATGTATCTATACATTATTGTAAGTATAGCTATATGTTAATTGTCTAAACTATTCATTTTCTATAAGCTGCACAACTATGTACATTGGCCTAAATGTCTGTGTACCCATAGTTGTACATCTAGTGTGCACTCTGGTGCATTAATATATAGATATGCTCCATGCTTTGCTAATTGATGGTTAATGCTAAGTAGGAAATTTCTGCCATATAGCTTTTGGAGGAGGAAAATTAGCTGCATTTGACATAAAGGAAGATACCCAAGAGGGTTGAAAGACACACATCCACAAGCGAATAAAGAATTGCTACTGTCAAAAATATAATGAAGTTTTTTTTTTTTTTAATATGAGGATATGTCCTTGTGCTTGCTAGGAAGGAGGATCAACTTCAAACAGAAGGCTTTGTGGGTTTAGGGACCTTGGGAAAAACACTGTAGGGATACTAAGGTTTAGATTCCTTTTGGGAATGAGAAGACTAGAGGTCTTTATGGTTTGGGAGATCAGCGGACCTTTCGGGGTCAGGAAAGTCTTTCTGGTCTATTTCTAGAGAACGAGACCTGTTCTGTTAAAGACTCCAAGGTGTGTCTGTTGGCATCGCTGGCCGGAGAGGAAAATCAAATGCTGCTCATGGTTTGTGTAAGCATTTGAGGAAATCCACTTGTTTGACTGCACTCAGTGATTCTGGTATTTGTTCAGACTCTGAGTGAATGACGAACAGAAACTTCTGTACCATCAATTCTTAGCAATGATGGTTTTCTAAAATGTACATTGAAATGACTTCTAGATATAATTGTCATTGGGCTAAAGAGAGAAACTCCTTAAATCTGATCAGAACCATGAATTTCTCTCTCCAGGGTCATCAGTCTGGCTATTTTCTTTGTCATTTCCAGGTGACAGGGGGCTGTGTTAGGATCAGTTCCCCACCTTTTCTCTGGGACTTAGGCATCTTCTTTCCTGCTGGTGTTCTTCTCTCTGTTAGATTATGATGAGTCAGTCAGGATTTTAGAATATAGTCCTGTGACTCCATATGTGCTTAGTGAACATTACATTTTTCTGTGGTACAAGATATTCTGTAGGAAGGTCAGCAATAACTAGGGTTATTTTGGGATAAAGGTGGGCAGGCATCCTTGCCTTAGCCCTTCCGTTTCTATCAGAGTTTAGTGCAGACCTTATTTCTATGTGGGTGGTTCTCTCATTATTTCGATCACCAAATCCCTTTCATATCCTTTATCTGGGGAAACTGAGCCATCGGAAGAGCACAAGAAGACAGCTGTTCCCATTTTCCGTTCTCTCTCTTCCCTCCCCCACTAGTCCTTGACCGTGATCATCACGTCATGAGTGCAGATCTCCATGAAGCTGAGTTAAACATTAGACCAAGAAAGTTCTGTAGATGTAGACTGTGCAGCTGATCTAAATCAAGCTGATTTACTTGCCTTTTTACTGTGCTTGCATCAGGCCTCGTTGACTTCAAAAACAGCTCTAACCCGCCCCCCTACTAAGGACACCCGCATGTGATCTTACTTGAGACAGAGCCCCAGAGGCCACTGCTTAGTGTGTAAACTCAAGGGAGTTTTCAGTTCATAGAACATCATGGCAAGCGGAGTGGGAGTTGTAGATTTTTATGCCCTGAGTTTTGAACTTTCTAAGATTCTGAGCATGTGAGTCTAAGATAGAACTGTGCAGCCATTTTTACAGTACTCCTGGGTGTGCCAAAAAGAAGGTGTCTCAGATGGCTCCCATGAGAGTTTGCAAGATCTAAATTAAATAGATCAGTACTTGGTCCCGCTCTACATTTGTATATTCTTTTATAACATAAATGTATAGTTTTAGCAGTAAATATTTTTCTCTCGTCTTCAATGGAGCCATTCTGTCAGTACTTCCTTTATCCCATATATATACATATATATATATATATATTCCCCCCCCCCCACTTTGCATCTGTTCCATAAATAGTCGGTGGAGCACGAGACTCTTGATCTTTGGATTGTGGGTGTGGGCCCCACACTGGATATAGAGATTACTTAAAAATAAGAAAAAAATTTTTTTAAAAAAGAAACAGTGAAAAGTCTTAAACTTAAAACAGGGTGTTTTGAATTTGTTTCCAGCCCTCTTGTTCAGGGGCACTGATGGAAGGGGTACATCCTAACGTGAATCTTGGCAGCTGTCAGTTGCTCAGGAGCTTGACTGTGTAGTTTGGGAATAACTAAGTGTTAATCCTATTATTCCTATTTTAATCCTATTATTCTTGAGTCTTTCTTCTCTTTTTAGCCTGAGCGTCATATAACATAAAATGATTCCGACCTTCTGTGTTATTTCTCTATTAGCAGGTTTGTTGAGTAGTTTGGTGAATTTAAAAGGGTTGTGGTTAAAATGGTTTCTCAATCTTTTTTGAAATTAATTTTTGTACTTTGTATTATGAAACGAAAATGTAGTGTAATAATGCTGGGATTTAAAGCAGAGACTCCACACAAGGTTTCTGGGGATGATGTCCTGGCTCCCCACTTCCCAGTTTGTGGCTTTGGGTACATTTCTTAGACTTTGTGTGCCTCAGTTTCCACATTACTGAAGTGTTCATAATAATGAAACCTACATCTTGGGTGGTTTTGAAGATTACATAAAGTAATATGTGTAAAGCCCATAAAACGTTTAAGTGTTTTCTGCTGTTATTATTATACATGCCATGAATATACTTATGTATTTGGCATGCTCCTTTCTCTGCAGGTTTGATATTCCCATCAAATCCTTTGGTTTATTTTCAGAGCATTTGCATGGTTTTTGACAGTGCTTTCCAAAAATATGATAGTGGTTGTCAAGTGAAAGAATGTACTGGTGTCCTAAGGCCTTCTGATTAGTTTGTTGTATTTTGTTTCAGAGAAAGGGGCAGTAGACTCTAATTGAAAGAATGCCAGGTGTTGGAAGTCTTGGTCTTTACCACTTACTAGTAGGGACCTTGGTCAAGTCATTTGATCCCTCCGATTCTCAATTTTCCCCTCCTGTAAAATGAAAGCACTTGGTTAGATGATTTCTAAGGTTTCTCTACATCTAAAATTCTATTCTGTTTGTCGATAAGCTATTTCTTCAG